TTTTATTTTTATAGGGTTTAAAAAAATATAAGAAAATAAAATAAATCATATGAAAAGTAAAATATATGTTTATATAACAAAGAAAAAATTATAAGTTAAAAAATAATTATATATTAAATCAGATATTATAAAGAAATATTTTTATAAATATTTATATTTTCTATAAATTATTATTATATTTAAAGTTTTATGTTTTTTCAAAAAGATATTAATTTTAATTTATATAAATATAATTATAATAATATGTATACAAAAGTTATTTTTATAGAAATTATTATAAATAAATTTGTTATAGATAGAAGTTTTTTTTAATTTCAAAATAATCAGTTTTTTCATTTAAGAAATATATTTATTGTTTATAATAAATATTTATAATTTATTATAAATTTTTTATATTATAATCAAATTAAACATTTATAAATTAAAGAGAAAATTATAAAAATATTAAAAATAAATTATTATAAAAAAAATGAAAATGTATTTATTGTTATCTCTTTTTATTATAATAACAAATACTTAACCCCATTATGATACTTACTAATGTGAATGCCCATTAATAAACAAAACAATTTATATTTAAAATGATTAGAAATGTAATTATGAATGTGATATTCTTTAAAATAAATAAACTTTTAGATGTTAATGCTATTATGAGAACAAATCAATTTTATTAGAAGAAATAACAAACTAATCAGAATGTAATAGAAAATGTGATTCTTTGTTTCCAATTGAAAAAGTATGTACATGTAATAATAATATAGATATAATAGCTTTAGGAAATTAAAATTGTGATGAATAATGCAAAATAGCTATAGAAAAAGGAGATAAATTCTTTTAATGTTTATGTGATTCAAAAGATAAAGTTTTCTTGTTAGAAGATGTGAAAAATGAACAAGATTGTTAAAAAAATTGTGACGAAAAATATCCTAGTCAATAGTATTGTTTATGTGAAGATGGTGAAGAGTTTATAATAAATTAAAATGAATAATGCGATTAAATATGTCAAGAAAAAGCTTAATAATAATAAAATTATGAATGCTAGTGTGTTTAAAATGATTAAATGATTGTTTTTAGTGAAATAAAAGAATAAAAAGAATGTACATAAAAATGTAAAACAGAGTTTCCTTCGCTTACTAATTGCTTGTGTGATGGTGAAGAATTCGATATTCCTGAAAGCGAAAGCGATAGCTGTCCTAAATTCTGTGATGATGTAAAAAACAACCCACCTGATTATGAATGCTAGTGTGTTTAAAATGATTAAATGATTGTTTTTAGTGAAATAAAAGAATAAAAAGAATGTACATAAAAATGTAAAACAGAGTTTCCTTCGCTTACTAATTGCTTGTGTGATGGTGAAGAATTCGATATTCCTGAAAGCGAAAGCGATAGCTGTCCTAAATTCTGTGATGATGTAAAAAAAAATCCTCCTGATTACGAATGCTAGTGTGTTTAAAATGATTAAATGATTGTTTTTAGTGAAATAAAAGAATAAAAAGAATGTAAATAAAAATGTAAAACAGAGTTTCCTTCGCTTACTAATTGCTTGTGTGATGGTGAAGAATTCGATATTCCTGAAAGCGAAAGCGATAGCTGTCCTAAATTCTGTGATGATGTAAAAAACAACCCACCTGATTATGAATGCTAGTGCGTATAAAATGATTAAATGATTGTTTTTAGTGAAATAAAAGAATAAAAAGAATGTACATAAAAATGTACAACAGAGTTTCCTTCGCTTACTAATTGCTTGTGTGATGGTGAAGAATTCGATATTCCTGAAAGCGAAAGCGATAGCTGTCCTAAATTCTGTGATGATGTAAAAAACAACCCACCTGATTATGAATGCTAGTGTGTTTAAAATGATTAAATCATTGTTTTTAGTGAAATAAAAGAATAAAAAGAATGTAAATAAAAATGTAAAACAGAGTTTCCTTCGCTTACTATTGCTTGTGTGATGGTGAAGAATTCGATATTCCTGAAAGCGAAAGCGATAGCTGTCCTAAATTCTGTGATGATGTAAAAAAAAACCCACCTGATTATGAATGCTAGTGTGTTTAAAATGATTAAATGATTGTTTTTAGTGAAATAAAAGAATAAAAAGAATGTACATAAAAATGTAAAACAGAGTTTCCTTCGCTTACTAATTGCTTGTGTGATGGTGAAGAATTCGATATTCCTGAAAGCGAAAGCGATAGCTGTCCTAAATTCTGTGATGATGTAAAAAACAACCCACCTGATTATGAATGTTAATGTATTTAAGATGAATCTTTAATAACTCTTAAAGATATTAAAACTTCTTAAGAATGTTCTATTTAATGCGAATTATAATTAACTCCAACAGTTGCTTGTTTATGTGATTTTTTAACTTTTTATATTACTTCTTAATAATCTTGTTAAGTTTTTTGTTCATAAACATATTCCTGTAATTGTTTAGGGTAAATATTTAATATTCCTTTTTATTAAACTTGTGATTAATATTGTTATGATATTTAAGAGGAAAATTAAATGTGTTAATGTAGACGTGGTTAACCTTTTTTAATTTCCTAATTATTAGATTGTTCTTAATAATGCATTTTAAAATATCCACCTAAAATTGTATGTTCCTGTTAAGGCACTATATAACCTATTTAAGGTACTTAATGCCCTCTTAGTTGTATTTAAATCACATAAATAGAAGATTATGATAATTATTGCACATGTGGAGGTAATTCGTCTCCTTTTTACATAACAAAAGGTGAAACCTGTACCGATAAGTGTTTATAGCTTTATCCTATAAAATCTTTCTGTTAATGCTCTGGTTCTTTTTTTGAACGTCCTTAAAATTTTACATGTACTTAAGTATGCTTAGAAAACGAAATTACTTCATAAATTTCTTAGCAATGTCTATGTGAAGAATCTTATATAAAAATTTCATTAGAATAATCTTGCTCCGAATAATGCCCTTCTCCTCAAACATATTGTAAATGTGAAAATGGTAATTTACTTTAATTAAAAGAAGGATTTTCATGCATATAAACATGCTCTGATGAGCTTTTGCAGAATTAAAAATTGTGTTTTTGCGAACCCAACCTTTTTTAGGTTTCCATAAATGATTCTTGTTTATAAATTTGCACTTCTCCTACAAAATGTCATGAATCATGTATTTGTTAATAAGGTATATGCGTTAAATGTAAAGACGAAAATGCTTAAATCGTCCTATAGAAATTTTGTTCCTGCAAAGAAAATTATTATCTAGATTCTGTCAAAAAAATTTGCGTAATGGAAAATATAGGATCCCAAATCGATTAATGCGAACTCGAAATTTTCAAATACATTACATAAGTTATTGTCATAGCAGATTGTGATCTTTTCGTAGATTAAAAAGGAATCAATTATATATAAGTAAATGTTAGTTTAGACATATAAAGAACTAAAATATCATAATAATGTATTGAGAAATTAAAAACTATTTTAGAAATAAAGACAGAAAATAGTCAAAAATTCGAGATTTTAAAACAAGATTACTTCACATAAAAAAATCCTTATGAATTATTGATAAGAATAAAACTAATAGACGTATTTTAACTGGCATCCTAAACAAATTTTTCTGAAACTAAGCACATTTACCAATTATTAGAATTTGCTTTAGAAATGGGTCATTCTAGAAAATTTCTAAGGCAACATAAATTTAATGTTTCCGTTTATACAGGTAGAGAAGTAGTGCAATTTTTTTCTTTTGACATTTCAAAATAGATTACAGACGGATGTGAACCAGGTTAAGAATGTGTTATTATAGCAGATTTGGACACTTCTGGAAGAATTTGTTAAGACTAAACTTGTTAGCAAGAAATTAAAGGAACCGTTTTTAAAGTAGGAGAATCTATTTTCATTCATATTTGGCTTAAAGATAATTCCTACTCTAAATAATTATAACTTTAAAAAGTTGTTTTTAAAGGAGATGATATTGTCATGGATTATACTTAATTATGTTCACTTAACACTAATGCCTCTAATGCTAATTAACTTGGAAATCTTTTCATTTAATGTGAACTAATGGAGCCTGCTTAAGAAGCTACTTTGTAAGTTAGTTTATTAGTTTAGCCAACTGGAAGAGTCAGAAGATTAAATACTGAAAATTAAAAATAAAAAAAGAACTTCTATTTTGCTGTTTTTGGAAAAAAAAAATCAACTAATGCAGTTAGTGATAAACAATAGGAGACTTAATAATTAAGTAAATATAGTCTTTTAATAGAATATTATTTGATTATTTTCTGTATCTTGTAAGCTATTATTTATTGATGAGTTTATATTTTCATTATTTTATAAAAAAATCATTATATATAATTCATATATTCATAATTTAGTTCATCCTTATTTGATAAATTTATATATATTTTTTTATTACTTTAAATAAATATACAACAGAAAAATTTATTTCATTTTATTTTAAAAAAAAATATTTCAATACATGTAAACTAAAAAAGTAACAAATTTACTTAACATTAACAATGTAAAAAATTTCCTTTAAAAATTAAATAATTACAAAAAAATGATTAAATTGGTTTACTATAAACTTATTTTTTTAAATAGAAGATTTTTAAATTGATTTTTATCAAAAAAATTAAGATTTACAATTTTGTAGCTTCATTTAAAAATAAAAAATGGTCATATATATATAAAAAAATTGCATATAACATTTGAAAAAAATTTATAAAATAAACTTTTAATTATAATATTTATCCAATACATCTATACAACTAAGTATTAAGTTATAAAAAAAATAAAAAATATAAATGTAAAAATAATTATTTTTTAATTATTAAATATTATTAATAAACCCATTATTTCTTTTAATAATAATTATTTAAAAAGTATATTCTTCATTTCATTTTCTTTTTAATTATAATTGTTTTGTAATTTTAATTTTAAAAATATATTATATTTGTAAAACATATTTTTAGATGGGTAGCTCATCTTAGTTGTAAAACTTTTATATTGAAAAAAAATCTAAAAAACCAAAAAATTAAAATTTATATTGAAGCTTAAAATAAAAACTTAATCAATTATTATTTATTCGTAGTGTTTTTTTTATATTTTCTGTAAAAAATTTTAAATGCAAAATCAAAAAATAGGCCTTTATTAATTTATCTTGACTGTTTTTGAGTTTTTAAATAAAGATTATATAAAAAAAAGCAATATAACTAAATATTAATATAAATTTTAAAAATATTAATAAGAAATAAAATGTAAAATATAAAATTATTTAAAATATGTATTGGTGCATTATTCTTAAAATTCTCAAATCAGTTCTTATAGAGATGATTGGGCATAGATTTGAATTTTTTATGCGATTTATCCAAATAAAAAAATAATTTTAAAATTAATTAATTATTTAAAAATATTTTTATTTTATTTTATATTTATTTATGATATAAATATCTTAATTAAATAAATAAATACATTTTTTAAGAGAGTGATTTGGTTAAATCTAAGAAAAGAAAAATAATAAGAAGGGGAAATAATTAGGCAAATAAGTGTATATGAGAATTATATAACTGATATTATGAATTAAAAATAAGTATTTTATAAACTTTAAAATAAAATTCTTTAATTAAAAATATTTATAAGTACATAAATTTCATATACGCCTTTAAAATAATTAAAATTATGAAAATATTAAAAACAGAAAAAGTAATAAGTAATTTTTTCTTGCAAATAAATTAAAATTTTCTTCAATCATATTATAATCAAAATTATTGTCTAATTATTTTAACTAAAGTCACTTTATAAATATAATTGATATAATATTAATTTAAAATTATGTTTAAAATATTCATTAAATTATAAATATATATTTTTTTTAATTAATTTCATGAAATAGGCAAAATTGCCTGAATAGTTAATTAATTAATTATGTTCTTTAATTAGAATAAAAATGAACTTTAGAATTTGAAAATTCCTTATTTTTTTTATAAAATAAATGGTAATATAACATATATTTTTACAACTATTAAGAATAAAACAATGTTTTAAAGGAAATTAAACAAATTAATAAATGAAATGTTTAAATAAAAGTTGAAATATAAAATAAGAACTTCACAAATTATAAACAAAAATTATATTTTAAATTACTAAAATATATTTTATAAATAAAATACCTAATATTTAAAGCAAAATATAATCGTCAAATTTTCTGAAAAAAAAATATTTATTTATTTTTACATTTGCAGATAATATATTTTGTATAAAATAAATAATATAAAAAAATACTATGATAAATAATAAATATTTATTTTAATAATTTTCTAAAAAAACAATATTTTGCTTTCAAGCATAGAAATATAAAATTTATTGGATATAAAAATAAAATCTTTTTATATTTTAAATCTTATATTATTTTTATGTTTGAATTTACTTAACAATTTTTTGCATTAATATATATAGGAAGATAATAAATATCAATAATTATTATGAATAAAAACTAATTTTTCTATTATTTTTATTAGTTATTGATATTCGTATATTTATTTGTTTTATAATATTATTTTGAAAATATATGTTTATTTCTTATTAGTAAAAATTCCAATGATTCCTATTAAATTATAATAATATTAAATGTAAAATGAATTTTATGCACTTAGTTTAGTATAAAAATGTATTTTATTAAATACACATATAAATTTTTGATTTAATTATAAAAAATAAATTGAAATAATATTTTTTTAAATGTAATTTACACATTATTTTACTAAATTGAATTTATATTTTTAATATTAATTTAAATTTAATATTTGTTCAAATAAAATAAAATAATAACTATTTATAATATAATATAAATTTTTTATTCATTGCTATTTCTTTTTATTTTCTTTTATCATTTCTTCAACTTGCTTATTAAAACTTTTTGGTTATGGAGTTACAATAGATGGTATAGTGAGTATGATCCAAATAAAAAATATTAATAAATGAACAATTAATAATCCATATATAGAAGTTCTTAATGTTCCTTATATATGATTAGGTAAAAAGTCAAAAGTATCCATTTTTTTATTTATATTTTATAAAAATATTATTTATAATATAGTATATTAAATATTTTATAATAAATATACATATATTTATAATAAATATTTTATATAAATAATCAATTAACAAATCAAAAGTTTGCTTTTATACTAAAAAAATTAATTTAAAAATTATAAATATATAAGAAATAAACAATATTTTTTATTATTTTAATATTCTTTTTAATTAAATTTGTTTCTAATAAAATAAAACTATTTTTTTAGTTATTTTCTTTATTTTGATTAATAATATACTTGATATTTATTAAAAATATAATTAAAAGACATATTCATAGTTTTTTTTTTTTTTTTTAATAAAAAAAATTAATTTATATTAGAAATTATAAAGAAAATATTTAATTTATTATTAACATTATTAAGTAGAATATAATACTAAATTATTATAAAAATTAAAAAAATAATTAAAATAAATTAAAACAAAGAACAGAGAGTATTTTGAAATAAATAATATCTTTTAAAAATCAAAATAAATAAATAAATTATATTTTATAAATAAAAAATCAACAATAAGACCTATAAATATTAATAAATAAAAGAATTTTAATAAAAAAAAAAATATAATTAAAATCAATAAATATTTAAAAAAAGTCTAGGAATAAATAAAAACAAAAAATAAAAATAAAAAAATGAGTAATCCTTTTGAATATAATGGAGGAGCAATGATAGGAATGAAAGGAAACGGATGTGTAGCAATATCATGTGATCGCCGTTTGGGCGCATAATTTTAAACTGTTGCTTGTAATTTCTAAAAAGTATTTAAAATATAAGATAATATACTTTTGGGATTAACTGGACTTGCTACAGACGTTTAAACATTGTAAATTAAAAAAAATATATAAATATTAAATTAATTTTTAAAAAGCCATCGCTAAATGGAGTTTAAAGTAAATTTATACAGATTAAGAGAAAATAGAGATATGAAAGTTGAAACTTTTATTAATTTAATTTCCGCTGCATTATATGAAAAAAGATGGGGTCCATATTTTGTTTAACCTATTGTTATAGGTTTAGAAGATGGAAAAACCCCAATGGTAGCTAGTTATGATTCTATTGGTTGCACTAGTACAAATGAAAATTTTTAAGTTGGAGGAACTGCAGGAGATGGTTTGATTGGTTCATGTGAATCTATGTGGAGAGACGATCTTACCCCTGAATAACTTGAAGATGTAGTTGCTTAAGCTTTATTAGCCGGAGCTGATAGGGATATTCTATCAGGTTGGGGTGGTATTGTATATGTTATGTAATTTCTTTAATTTTTTAAATATAGATAATTTTTTTTTTTATTTTTTTTAAGTACTAAAGATAAAATTACTGTAAAAGTATTAAAGTCAAAATAATCATGAAGAAGCTTTTTTTTATTTTTTTTGTTTTTATTTTTTAAAATTAAAAAAAATGGAATATTATTATATATATACATATAAAATAAGCTTTAAATTTTTTATTTTTTAAGAAAAAAAAAAATTAATTTTTTAAGAAAAAAAAAATTTAATTTTTTTTTTAATTCTGATCTAGAAATTATAGTATTTCTTTTTTTTTAATTTTAAAAAAATAATACACAATTATATTTTAATTGATTAGTGTTTTGTATTCAAATAAAAAAATTAAGTATAGATTTGCAATATTAATATTTTATGTAAAATAGAATTATATATTTTAAACGAATTATTAAATGTAGAAAGTCTAATATGAAGTTTAATTTATATATTATTAAAAATAAATTATTTAATTTTGATGTTGTGGATGGTATTTACGCTAAATGTATAATAAATTTTCAAATAAATTATTATATTTAGTATTAATTATTAAATAATAATTAATAAAAAAGGAAACTAAATATTGATTTTAATATAAATACATATTTCTAAATTCATAATTATCTTTATAAAAATATTTCATGTTCTTTTTGTTTATTTTTATTTCTCTTTGTTTTTTTATATAAAAATAATAGAAAAATAAAAAAAACAATATGAACAAATACAACATGTTTTTATATTAAAGAAAAAAAAATTTTAATAAAGTATTTTATTTTATAAACTATTTAAGATTGCCTAACCAATAAAGGTACTACTAAACTAAAAAATAATAGAAAATCATTACTATAAATAGTAATTTAACAAAAATACTATTTTTTAAAATTTAACAAAAATCATAAACTATTTATTAGTATAAATTTATTATTTTTAATATCAAATTTGTATTACTTAAGATAATAATTAAAAAATATATTCCACATGAATATTTTTTAGAAGAAAAAAAAGTATCTTTAAATACCAAAAACATTCTCTAATACTATAATAATTTCATATATGTATATATATATATATATATATATATATATATATATATATATATATATATTTATAAATATATATATATTATTGTTTATTACTTAGCTTTCCTTCTTGCAAAGCATAGAATCTTCACAATAAGAAGATGAGAATATTAATTTATTATGAATAAAATATGAAAATAATCGGATTGAAATATCTAAATATTATCTGGAAGTACAGAAGTATAAAAAAAAAGATATAAATATTATTTGATCAATTTAAGTAAAAATCTAGATAATTAAAAAGTACGTAAAGAAAAAATATAATAATTAAATATATATTAAGAGATAAACTTTTAAGAAACGGAAAAATATAGTATAAGAAAAAGTATGTTGAATTAGGTGTTTAAAAGATAAAGATTTAATAATGAAATAATATATTAAAATAACGAAAAAATAAAAAACGAAATCTTAAAAAATAAATTATAAAAAATCGTATATCTAAACTAATTTAACATTTTTTTAAATTTCAATTTTATAAATGTTATAATACTTAAAATATCAAATTTTTATTTATTTTTTATATTAAATAAATATCTAGAAAAAAATCAGAAAAAAAAAAATATATTATCCCTAATCAAGAAGTTTAAAAGTTTTAATAAATAAAAATTATTATATTTTTTTATTTTTTAAATTTCTATATATCTTAATTACGCTTTTAATTTTTTTCATATTAAATCTTATATTTAATTCTAATTTATTCATTTATTAAATATTATGACAACTCATTTTAAACTTAAATACTTTTTTACTATATTATATTCATATTATCAGTAACATTATAGTTTTTATTCATTTAAATAATAATAATTTTTATTCCTTTAACTTTTTTCATTTATTATTTTATGCTTATATATTATTTATTTTATTGTATATCGAAAAAAAAAATAAAAAAAAAATATGCTATTAATTTCATTATTTTAAATTATTTTTTCTTTTTTACAATTTTTTTATATATTGTATATGTAAATAAATACATTTATCAAATTTATAAACTCATTAGTTAAAAAACGCAAAAATTATAAATAACTTATAGAATAATAATCAAAAATAAATTGATTATTTAAAATATAAATCTACATAGAAAGAAAAAAAGTATTCATTTTATTTAAGGAATAATAAATAATATGATTTTTTTATTATAACTAAAATTAAATTTATAAATATCTTAATGTTAAAAATAACAAAATATAATAATAAATTCAAAAAAAAATGAAAAGAATTAAAAATGAATAAATAATAAAAATATAAATTATAAATTAATTTATATATATGTATTTGCTATATATATATATAAAAAAAATATTAAATTATTTTAACAAATAAATAAATAAATTAATTAAAAATTAAGAAAATTTTTATATTCTTTATACTAACATAAATTAAAGTAATTATATATAAATTATTTTATTTTTAGAAATATAAATATTTTCATAACAAAGCTATATTTTATTTTTATATATTATAAAATAAAATATAGTATAAATAAAATAATTAAAACAGATTAATTTATATAGTAAAATTTCACATTATAAAGTTATATGAAAAATTAAATTAATTTTTGATATAAATTGATATTTTATTTATTAATAAATTAATGAATTATATTAATAGAAATAAAAAAAAAAGAGAATATTTATTTAAACACATAAAAAATATTCATTTTAATTTATTTTTTCATCATTTAATTTGCTTTATTATTTTATAAATAATTGATGCCAAAAATAATGTAAATAAAGCTAATATAAATTTTAACCTTTTTTATTTATTAATTTGTTGTTGTCTTTTATCTTTTAATTCCTATTTTTTTTTATTTTTTAATTTTTTTCTTTAATAATTAGGTATAAAATTTATAATTACTTAATTTTTTTAATTATAATTACATAAATGCTATTATTTATCAAATGATTCAAAACCTTTATTTTTTTTATAATTAAAAATAAAACATTATTTTACTTTATTCATAAAAAGATTAAAATAAAGATTAAAAAGAAGAATTTTATGATTATAAACTTTATTAATTTAAGTTTTGTTCTTAATAATTTTAAAAGTTATCTATATTATTTTATTTATTTAAATATATATTATTTTTATTTTAGAGTGTATTATTATTATTTATATTTATGTTTATGTTTTATTGTTTTTCTATGTTATTATTTTAATGTTCTTTTTCAAATTCTTAAAAATTAAAGGTTTCTTTTTATTCTTTTAAATAATCTTTTTTATTTTATAATTAAAATTTATTTAAACTTTATTTGTTTTTTTAATCGATATCTTATTAACTTACATAAATATTTTGTTTTAATTATTAATTTGGAGTTTATTTTTTATTTTAAATATAACTTTTTTCGTTAAAAATATTAATATTTTAATTATGAACTTAATATAATATTTCTTATTTATAAGGGAGATTTTTTATATAACCATTAAACTATTCCTAATCTGATTATATTTATTAAACACTATTTTATACTTCATTTTTCAAATTATTATTATATTATTAGGATATATATTAATTTATTATTTCTTATTTATAAGGGAGATTTTTTATATAACCATTAAACTATTCCTAATTTGATTATATTTATTAAACACTATTTTATGCTTCATTTTTCAAATTATTATTATATTATTAGGATACATATTAATTTATTAATTCTTATTTTTAAGTTGGTTCATTTGCATAAATTTATGAATTTGTCTGTGTTTAAATTTCGTAATTTATAATAGGTTTCTGAAATATATATATTTTTTTGATTTATAATTAATATTTACGTTATCATTAAAAATTTTTGGTTTATTTTAGATTTATTTTTAAGAGATTCTTATTTAATATCCAAATTTAGAACTATTACTTATTTTAGAAATGTTACTTTGAGAACTTAACATTTCAATATTATTGCTATTATTAGTTTAAGATCCAAATTTAATCAAATTTTATTAATTTAAACTATGGTTTAGATTATATTTATAATAATTAAATGAGTTCAAATTATTACAATTAGTTTAAAATATTTTATATTTTTTGTTTTGAGTTTTTTTTGATTCTGTCAATTATTATTTATTATTTATTTATATTTATTATTATTGCGATTATATTTTATTTAACATTAATTTATATTATTAATTAATGCTTTAATTATTTAACTATTAATTGTTTTATTTGAAATAAAGCTCACTTTTTGGTCAATATTTATAAACATTTTTTAATATTATTTTTTATGTTTTATTTATTTTAAAATTTACTTTGTTTATTAATTTGAATACGGTAATTGTATTTAATGAGATTTTATATTATTTATTTATATGTCATATAATTATTTTGAATTCATTTTATATAAAAACAATTATAAAACTAATAAATATTTTAATAAACAAATAAATTAAATAAATATATTTTTTTTGAATAGATAAAAGGAAAATTTTAATAAATAAAATTAAGATATATAAAAAAATGTATTTAATAATTCATAAAAACAATAAATTTTTGGAGTTATTAAAATCGAAATTATTTTAATTAATATGATATTAACATATAATATATATTTATCAATTAATTTAAATAAAACAGAATAATTTATATTATATTTATTATTAAATTTTCATTAATCAATTTTAAAAAATAAACTAAAAGAAATAAATGGCGAGAAAAAATGAATAATTATATATTATATTTTATTTTTTTAAACAAAAAACTGCAATAAAATAAAATAAATATAAAAAAAAGTAATATATAAATTAAATTATATTACTTTTTAAATATATTTTTTGAAAATTTCATGTGAAAAAGCACTTTTTACCATTATATTTGACTCAATTAGTTTTATAATTATTTAGAATAATATAATCGTCATAATAAAAACAAGTATTTCTATTAGGAAGATTACAATTATTATAATTAAAATGAATTAAATATATATTTTTTATAATTATTTAAATTTAATAATTATTTAATTTTATTTATAAATATATATATTTAACAAATTTTATAAATATATAGATTTAAAGCAATTGAAATATTTATATTATTTAAT